ACCATTTGGCCCAATGGGCCTCCAATAATTTGTATGTAGTCTGTGAATTAGCCTACAAAATGGAGCCCAACCCAAGACACGTTACTTTTTTGTGAAATATCCAATTTGTACACCCAAAATCTGTAACCACATTTTTTGACACATCGATCACTATTGACTGTTCTTAGGGCCGCAATTATATAAGGATTTGATATCCAAAAGTTTTTTTGGGTACCATAATTTTGGGTCTTTGATCTTTTTATGAATTATCTTTGACCATTAATTACAAAAATATTAAATTAAAATTAAATAAAAAAATTTTATGCAGTGAAGCTTTCATTAAAAAAAGAGAAAATTTTATCTACACACCCTCTAAATAGGTCTATCTTCAACAACATCCCCTACCTTTTTCTGAAATTTTACTGACCTCCCCTGTCAGTGTTGGTCTGCTAACAAACGTGACAGAAACACACCTTTTACCATTTTATCCATGAATTTTATAAAAATTTACATATTCACCAATTATTTTTCATTAAACTATATATAAATACATATTCTTATTTCTTGTAAGTATGGGCATGTTTGTTTGTTGGATATATGGGGTGTGTTTGGCAAAAGGGATAAAGTGGGATAACCCCTAGTTGGATTGGGTACCATAATTCAATGGCCCACAAATCCCTGATTTGACAAGATTTTTTTCAATAAGATATTCGTTGGGCTAAATTCCTTGGACCGTAGCTTTTTCCCTTCTATATCCCATCTAACCCACTTTCATATATCCCATTGTAACTTTGGGATTACGAAGTCCAGTTACCGGATTGGCCTGCCATTTACTAAAATACCCTTCTACAATACTGAATATAGGGTTTTTACCCCTCATTTTTGTCTTCCTCTGAACTTCTCATTGGTCCTTCCTTCCCGCAAGTGGCGCCCATTGGTCCCCATTGGAATGTATCTCTCTCTCTCTCTCTCTCTCTCTCTCTCTCTCTCTCTCTCTCTCTCTCTATATATATATATATATATATATATATATATATCCATGTGGCACCCTTATGCTTGAAACCCAACACGCGATCTCCATCTACATCGAAAAATTCTCAATAGAGTTGCATTATGCTGTTGGAATTTGCACTCATGGGTCAGAGATCACCATTTAATCCACTGAAATTTTTTTACCTGTGTACTTATTTTGTGATGTTTGAAAAATTGATGAAAAGATTACATTGTTAAATCTTCAAGGAGGTCTCCTGATGGCAAGGAAATGAAATGATTACTTTTTGTTTCGTATGTTATTTGAAGAAGTCGTTTGTTTTTTTTTAAAAAAATTAATAGTATAATTCTGATCTAGTTTGTTAATATAATTTATTGGCATAATCTATTTAATACTATTGCATTGGTTATGGATCTTAAAATATATTGGAATCTATTGTCAATTGACTTAATTGCTGGAATTTGGTTCCTTATATTTGGATTATGCTTGTTTTGTATTTGCCTCCATCACTGGTGCTGGAGTTTGTGAACTCTCTGTTTCTTCTGGTGTCATGCTCTGTTTGGAGTTTGGCATTATGGGGGCATTGTCTTTATGGTGGCTGCGTTGCTGGTTTGGTATTTCATGTGGGTGCTGCTGTTTGGTGCTTCATCTTGTTAATTATGTCTTGATGGACAGTATTTTATTTTTGTTCGTTTTTTACTGTGTTTTTGATTATGTATTCTTTTGTACGAGGATCAGGGATCTTCTTTTTCTTGTTTTAAGAAGATCAATCATCCAATTTGGTTACACCTGTGTACATGTTGCCTTTTCGCTTTTATGTAATTATCTTAATTACCAAAAAAAAAATTGATTATGAATTAGTAGATCAATAAATTACGTTCAACTAATTTTATTGTTATAATTTTTAATAATCATGAAATTATATGGATTGTGCATCTTGGTTATTGCAACATGTACTATTCACACGACTGTTGACGTGAACAGTACATGCTGGATCAGTTGCAGTATTTGTGGATTACTTGTTTTGGTGCCTTGACTTTTTGGGTATTTTGTTGTTTGTTTTTGAGCCCCACGATGACTTTATTGTACAAATATAGGTGTATTGACCCTTGTATTTCTGGTTTATTTAATACATTTTACATTCTGAAAAGAAAAAGTAATTTTTTGATAAATTAATCTAATTTTCAATATGAAAATATATGGAAAAAGTTGTTGTCACTATAAGTAATGCTATTTCAACTTAACAATTTAATCTAATGATGTGTCCCAATGAAAAAAATTCAACAATTGGACATTTGTTTTTTGTTTTTTTGGTTTCAACAATTACACCTATGGTAATTGTGTAGGACCATTTTACTGTTACATTTGAAAAAAAATTTCAAAATTTTTTTTTTATCCAAATGACATTCTAGTCCCCCATTATATGTACTAGCAAAAAAGTGTCATCAAATTTCAAATTTTTTTTCCTTGATACTTAATAATCAATGATTGAGATTGTTATAACTAAAATTGACACGATCTTTCCAAGTATAAATATTTTTATAACCAAGGTCAAGGTGATGTACTTAGTGGGAGAAAGTTTAAAAAAATTTCAATTTATTGTTTGAAAGAAATGAAAGTTACAAGAACATCAATTTAGTTGTCTAAATTATATTTACTTATATTAAATCGGTTTAAAGAAGGAAAAATATGTATAACAGCTTAATATCTATCATGTTCTAACATAACTTATTTGAGTTGTTTGAGACATCAATTCTATGAAAGATGCCACAGTTTGTAATTATGAAGTTAAAGTACTAATCTTACTTAGTTTACATAATTGTCAATATGTGAGTGTGAATTATTGATGCTTCAGAGATAACAAAAGGTTGTAGGTAGGATTTCAGGATTATTTCTTCGTGTATTAATCTTGAATCCAAGTAATTATAGTTGAGTGTTCTACTTTCCCAAGAACTAAGAGAGAGACAGAGATAGAGAGACACATAAATTCCTAATCGTGATTATTTGTATTATTTGGAATGCAACACACAATAGCGTGTGTGCATGTAGATTCACGCTTCGTACCTCCTACTGTTGCGTTCGTTTTGTATGTATACTTGAAGGTAACAAAAAATATAAACATATCGAATACGTGTAATTACGTAGTACGTTGCCTTACTTTTGCTTCGTCTTTTGTATAAGGTTACTTGTGGTAATAAAATATGTTTAGGTGTTTATCGATTCGTGTATATCGGTTATTTTTTATTTTTTAAAACAATGTGCGACAAATTTATGAGCAAATTAATTAGATAAAAAAATTTGGGGTATTGCAAACATTAAAACCAAATTGTTTTCGGTTTATACACTTGGTAACATACATGAAAATTGGAATGAAGTTTAAAGGTGGACAAAATAAATAATATTGCCTCACCCAACATTGACTTTGGATTAAATAGGAGTGAAAGGTAAAATTATAATTTAACCCAAAGGTGAGAGAATTTACACAAAAAACAATGATTTTTTCGTGAGCCCCATAATATACAAAATTACTTCCCAAAACAAAGATTAGATTACACTACTTTATTATTATCTTGTCTATATCCCCCGGACTTGAGTTTTCATTGAATTAGTTTGAACTAAGAAACCAAACCAATCCTATCGCTCACATATTTACCAACACACCCCCATGAGGTAGTAGGAAGTGGGATAGAGTAAATAGTACTTAGGGCCCACTTATTAACTTGTTTGGTTGACATTTTATGTGCAGTACTATGTTTTGAGTTACTATATTGACCCGATTTATATAGTTACATTTATCATTTGTACATGACTTTAATGAATACCACCTACCAAGTGATTATTATTTACTGGTATAAATGCACCAATTGTACAAGTAAGGAAAATGACACAAATATCCTCCTCTGTAGAGTTTATATAAAAAAAAATTATTTTGAATTTTTTTCTTATATTATGTTTAAATGTATGGTGTCAGCGATTTATTTTTTTATTTTTTTTTAAAAAAAAAGTTATTTTAAATTTTTTCCTTATATTATATTCAAGCGTATGATGTCACCGGTTTTTTTTTTTAAAAAAAAATTTCTAAAAAAGTTATTTTGAATTTTTTTTCCTCGTATTATGTTTAAACATATAGTGTCACCGGTTTTTTTTTTAATTTTTTTAAAAAAAATTATTTTGAATTTTTTTCTTATATTATGTTTAAGTATATAGTGTCACCGATTTTTTTTTAATTTTTTAAAAATAATTATTTTAAAATTTTTTTATATTATGTTAAAGCATACGGTGTCACCAATTTTTTTTAAAAAAAAATTTAAAAATTATTTTAAATTTTTTTCTTATATTACGTTTAAGTGTATGGTGTCACCGATTCATTGCACAAAATTTTTTATGTTAATTTTTTACATTATTCTTCACCGATTTATACTAGGACCAATGGCTTGGGTTCATTGCAACGTTGATTTTGTAGCTAGGTGATTGAGTAGTTGAGGCATGAGAGAAAGAGAAAGGGGGTGAAACAAGGGTTTTATGGGGAATAAGAAGAGTAAAATTGACATTTAATAAAAAATTTGGTACGATATAAACACTTTTTTAATGGTCAGTAACGAGTAGTTACGGTAAGGGATCTAGGTGAAAAGAGCACATAAACTAAAAGGAAGTACAATAAAATTTCAGAAACTGTAAAGGACGTTGGTTAAGATAGACCAATTTAAAGGGGGTAGACAAAATTTTCCCAAATAAAAATGAGTTATAATACTGAAAAAAAAAATTACTTATCATTAACGTAATTTTTTTGAGCAATGTCATTAAGGTAATTAAAAAAAATTGTTTTGTAAGTAAATGGAACTATTTTAGAAAACATTAATGCTATTGGAACATAATTATGGAGATATAAGGAGTTGTCACCAATGAAATCATAGAAAAATGTATTTAATGATGGGTCTCATTATAGTATTAATGAATTCATTATTATATTATTAATGACAACCCATTATATCTTCAAATTATATCCATAAATTATATCTTAATAACATTACTCTTTATAAAAAGTATTCATCCAATACAAACCCACCAAATTGTCCCTACTTATCAGAATAATAGTTGTCCTCTTCCTCGGCCATGCCAGATCATGCACAGAAAGAGAGAGAGAGAGAGAGAGAGAGAGTTAGGTGAGACATCAGAATAAAAATTGTCCTCGCTCGGACATTCAATTCACGGAACAGACAGGAAGAGTGGGGTGATAAGAGACATCATGTAATAAATGGACTTCAAAAGAGATGGTTGAGGCTTTTTGTAAAAGCATCCATCTTAGCCTTAGGAAGAGCCAAACCAATCTCAATGCCACCTTCCATATCTCTACACTCACAGAGTGATATTGCACGTGTCTTATCAATTGAGCCTTCCTCTATCTTCCTTGGCTTCCCCCACCCAAAGTCCAATCCATACTGCTCCAATTTTGGTGACCCGACAACCATAACATGAAGCTCCGAACTGGAAAACACCTTCCACTCCCTAATCCAATTCTCTGCATTTTCCAAAATTCCCCTATCCAACTTCTTGATTGTGTCCCCTATCGCTTTCGCTGCAAAAACAATCCCATTTTCTTCCAACAACTCACTCCTCATTGCCATTGATCTGCCAAATCCAACACAATTACCGAAATAATTTGTGGGAACTGGAAAATCCAAGCGGGTAATACCACCAGCAATAAAACCGAAATAGTGGGGCTCCGGATCCTTCCCCATGCTCACATTATCAGCCCACAAAGTTTTAATCAAACATACCCAGACAAGTGAACAAGTTAGGACATATGGTGATAGAAGCAACGGATGAGACCCGGGTATATTTTTGGATCGGGTCATGATCCACTGCTTGAGTTTCTGCATATCAGTTCGACCCATCACAAATGTGGATCGAACCATGTCATCAAAAGCATTGGTGGAGGTGACTTCTTTTTCTGAATTTTTTGGGTTCCACCACTCTCTCAATAAGATTGACTCAAACCCATTCGGGTCTTTGATCACAGACCTATCATAGCATGGTGACAACTTGTTCTTGTTCACCTCAGGCAAACTCAAGTGATGAATCAGCATACTGCAAATGGACGTCCAAGATTTCAGGAAATTGTTGAATGTTCTCCCATCAGCTGCCACGTGGTGATATTTGAATCCAACGCAAATGCCACAATTGGGAAAGAGAGTAACTTGGATAGCCAGTAGTGGGTGTGCATGTGGGTCACATGACAAACAAGGTGATAGCGCAGGGGCCAGGTGGTGGAAATCTTCGACCTGGCGATGGTGATGGCCGGATAGATAGTGGAAGTCGGCGGTGGACTCGGCTATGATGAGGGAAAGAGAGTTTCCGTCTGTGTAACTGAGGTGGGGATTGGTGGATAGCGGTGGTGCTGTCAGATTTCCGGCGAGGGGGAAGAAGTGTTGAAGGGTGAGCGAGAGGGAGTGTTTGAGAGCTGGGAGGAAGGTTTGGTTGAAGTGAGTGGTGGAGTGAGGGAAATCATAGAAGAAGAGCGGTTGGTTTGGAGGGAAGAGAAGCCAAGGTATGTCAAAGAAGGTGAGAGGAAGAGATGTTGGAGAAACTGAGCCCGGTGGTGGTGAGATTTGGCAGCGTTCAAGCACCTTGAATTCAGGTACTGAATCCATTTGTGTGTGTTTGTGTAAGAGAGAGAGAGAACTCCTAAGTCTCCAACAATATTCCCATTCGCAAAGCATCTAAAGAGAAATAAAGAAATTTTTGCATGGTAGTTTCTCAACCACGTGGCTGAGCATATTCTCTGAATGCTGGCCCACTCATCAAATATTAAGGTAATTTAAATGTTATTAAAATCGGATCAAATCGGTGAATTAAGCCGGTTTAATCGTGATTTAAGATCTTAATCGGTCTGATTAACTAGTTAAATTGCATAAAGAAGGAAATCGGATAAAAATCGTCAAATTGGTCAATTTTTGGAGAAAACAGTGAACCAAATGATTTTTTAAAACCAAATAGTTTGAGGTCCATAAAAGAAAAATTGAATCTGCTTTTTTTATTTGGACCATTTTGATTTTGCCCAAAATCGCAAAATGTAGAGGACGAGAAGTGAGAACTGAGACCGCAACAATTTCGTCTCACCAGCGACAGCGAGACAGTGATTAGTGCTCAGCTGACAACTCAGGCGTCCATCAACGTTGTTCCGTAATCACTCAGGCGAACTCAGGCGACCAAGGAAGTGGCGATTACTGTTCTGCTAAATTCTCAGACAGAGGCGACAACTCCAACGACGAAGAGCAGCGGTAAAATGGTTGTCCTCTCCTCCTTTCTCCTTTCTCACACACACAGTTTTGTTCTCCATATTTTCTATTGTCTGTGACTCTACGACTTCAGCTCGTTGTTACAAAAGTGAAATAGTTTCCCTCTGTTGAGTTCTCTTTATTATGGAACAAATTTGAAAAATCTAACTGCAATTACTACAACTCATCTGAGCAGTGAAAAGAAAAATCATTTGGGTCATCAATTGAGCACACGTGTGTTTCTTATTTTAGACATATTTTATATTTTTTAGTTAAATTATTATGTTTTATATATATATATATATATGAAATTGACTCTCATGTTAGTAGGCCGATAAACAGAGGAGAAGGCTATAATCTGATCTTGAAAATCAATTGAAAATATTTCATGAATGGAGCCATGAATAAACCATCACTGTAACAACCAGGCTGAAATCTGGCTTTTAAAATCTTTATGGAATTGTATGAACTAGGAATGATCTAAAAAATTATTCTGGTAGAGAATAATCTTATACCATGATTCTTTATAATCATAGTAATTAAATTTTCTCTTATGATAGGATAAATCCCGGAGTGAAGAAGGATGAAATCCCCATTCTTTGAGAGAAATAAATTTTAAAATATGTAAAGAATGATAAATGACTCTACTCGGATTATTTTATCAGGTATGAGCTTGACAAAAATAGACCGAGTAAAGAATAGTATATCCTGGTAGAATTGGAAGGTTTTTTCAGGATCAGATGGAATAAAGGTCTATCCTGGCTCAAGGTAGACAGTGACTAAGTCAATTGGGTTGCTTAAGTGAGCATGAATTGGTTCAATAACAAATACATTTTGAGTATAAACTTTGATGTAGTCAATCATTGGGCCTTTAGGGACAAAATACACATGCTTCAATTACAAGGTTGAAGTAGGTCTGATATTTGAAAGACTTCAGGGGTAAAATGGACATTCTGCATACAATATTAGATGGTCTCAAATCTTGTTTTTAACACTACCTAACGTTTGTGACGACGTACCAATGGGTCTGTGGTTCAATGATACTCTTTATTTTGTGAAGGAGAAATCTAAAAGCCACAAACTTGAGTGTACTGAGTCTTCTTTGATTATTCCGCCACTTCTTATTGATTTGATTATGAAAGCTCAAGCTAAAAATGGCTTGTCATAATATCATTTAAATCTATTTTATCAACTTAATTTGATGTTGTTTTTAGATTGAAATAGAATTTCTTCTAATACCAGAATCAATATTACTAAACTTACACTATTATATTAGGTTATTAAATTAGGTCCAGAATCAACGGACTTTTGGTCCAATAATACTTCTTGTCTTGTAAAGGTTTTATTTTCTTAAGTTCAATGGTTTATGTCTCTTTCCCTACCCCCAAAAAAATTTGAATTAGGCCCGAACATTATTTTTCGTGGTATATATATATATAAATATCTTGAGGTTGTTTAGTGTCAAGATTTCAAGTGTTAAAACTCGAAGCTTCCTAATTTGAGTTTCATTAAGAGGCACCATAGTTGTTCAAATATGTGTGGTTCTAGTTCTGTCCTGGAGAATTTGTTTTTGATCGTATTGAAGAGTGAATTAATCAAGATATACGTAAGTTAATCCGTATATCCTTAACGTTGAACATAAAAACAAACAAAAAAAACAAAATTTACATAACAACCACATGTCTAAAGATTGTGTGATCGAAGAAGTTCTAAATCGTCAAAAAAAACCCAATAAGGGGCGTATAAAAGACTTTGGGATGCAAAGTGAAATGCATATATAAACTAGAGGGAGTGTCTTTGTAATTAGACCAATTTACAAATAGTATTAATGTAATTTACCTTAAAAAAATAATAACTAACGATACCCAAAAAAAAATTCGTACCATAGAGTTTCCCCAACTTGAGATATACTACACATTTAATGCACTCAAATGAGAAAGTGACAAAAATCAACATTTAATTACATCAAATGTTAATTAATTAATTTTTTATTTCATTAAATATTAATTTCATCGCACTAACACTAATTTCATCAATTTAATACCAAATTAATATTTAATTTTATCAAATTCACATTCAATTATTAACATTTTAAAATTTAATGTTGTCAAATTAACATTCAATTTATATTATTTAGAATTTAATTTTATCAAATTGACATTAAACTGAACTTCAAGTTCATCAAATTGGTACTTAATTTTATTAATTCAAATATTAATTTCATCACACTAACACTAATTTCATCAATTTAATTTTTTTTGATAAAACTAAATTCTAAACTAAATAAATTGAATGTTAATTTGACTTTAATTTAAATAAATTAAATTGGTGAAATTAATATTACTGTGATGAAATTAATATTTGAATTAATGAAATTAAATGTTAATTTCATTTAAATGCCAATTTGGCTTTATTTTAAAGAAAAATTGTGAAAAAGGTACACTTTATCATACTTATTTGTGTAAAAGTATCTCAATATAAAATATTTGTGTATAAGTGTAAATGTTTGGTGAAAAAATACACTTTTGCTGAGTTGTAATTTTTTCTCTTATGAAATTGTCCTTTTTCCTTTATTAGTGGGAGACAAATATGACAATTATATTAAATATTCAGTTTCCTAAATTTATGGAATATCATTTTTAAATTTTAAATTATATCTTTCTCTTTCATTCAATTTAAGTTATTCAAACATTCATGTATTTTTCATATCTGAATAATTTTTTTTTTTTTATAAATCGTAATAATCAAGATGATAATTTTGATTCGGAGGATGATTTGGTGCCTCGCACGATAATATTACAGTGTTACAAGACAATGTCACACTGGTATTAGAAAATGTCACACTGCTACAATGTCGTCCATATGTTTTTCTTTTAAAAAAAAATTGTTACGGTCTCTTAATGTTAATCACGTTTATGTGAGGATAAATGTCAATGATGATGATCGCAATAATCAAGATAATGATTCTAATTTGGAGGATGATTTGTTGCTTCACATGATAATGTCACAGTACTACAAGACAATATTACAATGGTACTAAAAAATGTCACAGTGTTATAAACCAAATTTACACTACTAGAAACCAATGTCACATTATTTCAAGTTAATGTCACACTGCATATATTGACATGACGCATATCATAATATATATACCCTCTTTAGTTTTTTTTTTTTTTTGGCAAATGATCGAACACTTGATGTGCATGTAGTACCAAGCACTAGAAGTGGAAAGGTAATTGAGGGAAAAAAATAAATAAAATAAAAACGTTGGGAGAAACAACATTTTTCTTGAGTTATAAACTTCTTTTTCAAAAAATTCAACCACTCTCATCCTTCTGCTACAGTAACTCCCATTCAAACCCTTATCTAAATTGTTCTCACCCAGATGGACCATTTACTGAAACCACTTTGCCCTTTAATGTAATCAAGAGATGTTAATGAATTAGATTCCAATCCATATCCAAGATCGTATGATTGAGTTGGTTCTTCGTTATTAAAAAAATTTATAATCATTCCCATCCTTCAGCTACAATGGTGAAGATTTGGATTGTGAAATTTTAAAAAGATCCTTTCTTCAGCAATGATTAACAAAAAGTTTTGAACATCCAAAATGATGTTTTATGAAAGTTTTTGGAAGAATGGGGTTTTCGACGATATTGAAGGAATTTATGTGTAACTGTTGAAATCCCTTAAGTTTCAGTTGTGGAAGCAAAAATATAGGAATCGGTTCTCATTCTACTGACGAGAGTATTTTAGAAATTTGTTAAGAGTTGTATACTTTTTGACCTATATTTTTAAAATTAGTATTTTTTGTCGTATAATTTCTAAAAAGGGTACCGCCCCCTTAAAACCCTTATTTTTATGAAATTAAATTTTAAAATATTAATTTGATGAAATTAAAAATTAATTTGGTGTTAAAGTGAGGAAATTAATATTTGAATTACTGATATTAAATGTTAATTTGATGAAACTAAATTCTAAATTAAATGTCAATTTCGCTTTAATTTGACGAATAATTTGATAAAATTAAATTGGAGTGGGTTTAGGGTAATTCATAAACTATAAAAGGTTAAAGGGAAAACAATGGGGTTGAACCCTTGTTGAGTAATTCAGTAAAATTGCATCTCCATTTAGTCCGTTAACTGACATAACCAAATAGGGAGTGATAGTGACATTTAAAAAATCATCGAGTGTGTCCCTGAAATTGGGCCAATCTCCAAAAAGTGTCAACGAAATTTACCCAAAAACTAAAGACAATACCTATTCTATATAAAACAACAATTGCTAATAAATAACAAATCTAACAATGGTAAAATCTTCCTCAGCACCAACAAATATTTGATTTTGTTTTTATGTACCTTATGTCAGTCAAGACTTTCACATAACCTGCACCTTTCAGCTTTAAAAGCACTTAGGACCACATGT